CTTCTTCCTCTCTCCAACGCTAGAAGAGGCCACCACCGGCCGCATCATGCTCTGGTTGCGTCGACGGCAGCGACACTCGATCTTGCTAGCCCATAGCTCGTGTTCTTCTAGGTCGTGTTCATGTTGTTCTCCTTGCCTTGCGTACTTCTCGCGTTTGTATGAATAGCGGAAGAGCTCGTCAGAGGTCACCATGCTCCATCGCCGCCGTTAACTGCTCGCCACTGCGCACACTGATTCTTGGACCACGAGAAATTTCAAAAACCCTACTTCCTCCTCCCGATCTCCTCCATTCCACCAAACAGATCGCCTACTCCTGAACCCTAGCCACCTTTTTTACCAGATCATCATGGTGGCGAGAATGGAGGTGGCATCGGAGACGCTTGACACCCTTGTAAAATGGTTTACGCAGTTGCTCTCTCCCGACGCATCGCACGCTGTGTGCCTGTGTCACTGAGTAGAGCATCGAGTCCCCCAAGTGCTCCCCAGGTTTGTGCTCCGCCGCCATTGGCTAAGTTCTCCCCGGAGGCCCGAACGGTGACGGTGCCAACCACATCCCGACCTCTAACTATGTAGGGATGACCGGAGGGAAGTATGGTCCTCCAGGCACAGGGAAATGGGAGACCACCCCGCCCCTCGTCCAAGAGTAGCTCTCTGAGGCCCTTGGCACCGCCATGGCCTGGAGTGAGCATGGCCAAAGGCCAGAGCTAGGATCTTCCGATGTTATAGTAAGGGTGAAAACGGGGCGGTATTTCTCGTCGCCCGTCCGGCCACATTATTTCGGGACAAATTCGGGTACCCGAGACTTTTCAGGGACATCGGATCCGAGTACGGGTCTTTTTGGCGGATATAGGATTGGGTTCGGGAACGTAGTATCTGACGGATACGAATTATCCGGTAAAAAAAATCCTGGTATTACCCGGATAAATATACGGATACTACCCGTATTATGTTTTTGCAAGGCACCTTTTGGTACTATGTATTGGTTCTACTATGAGGTACTATTGTTATGATGAATTGGTGATAACTTAAATGATGTTTATTAGTCTATGCCCCTGTGGTCCTGAATGATGCCTACTGATAGCTTGTATGGGATGATATACTGATATTGTGACTCAACTGTGAGATATATTGTGCTTAATGACCTAATATTCTCAACTGTATGTCATATATAAAATGATTTTCAATTGTGAGGTATTGCACCCTATTTATTTCCTAAGGTCCTAATGGCATAATATAATCGTATCGTGGATATATGAAATTATTGAATGGTTATTGTCTATGTGATATATAAGATTGTTGCTTCAACTTGATATCTGAATAAATATTCATAACCGATAGTGTACATATCCATTTTGGTACGTATTCGTTCCGTATTTTTGCCCGACATTATCCGAGTTTGTATCTGTACTCAGCACTATCCGTGTCTGAATCGATTCCGATTATAAAATGTGGGTTAGGATATGGGAAGGGTGAGATCCGACCGAACTCGACCCGTTTTCACTCCTATGTTATAGGGAGGATGAAGAAGATCCAAAGATAATGTCGTCCACGTTGGTATTCTAGCAAACAACCTCTGTTTGACCATGATATTTTATCAAAACTAAGTGATGGTATTCTAGTGAAACAATTTTTTTACTCATATATGCAAATTTCTCTCTGAAATTCATTGGGACATTTTCTAGAAAAAAAAATCTGTGGAAGAACTCTTGCTGACTGAGTTTGGTACAGTGATTCGTCTTGTGAGGAGAGGAGGGGGGGCCATGCCATCCTACTCTTGTAATAGCCCATCAACTGTAATTGCGATCGTACTATAACATTGTCGTATATAGTACAGCATTGTCCAAAACTCACCCGTCCCTTGGATGCCTACATCTACATCGTCAATGTCCAGGTAAAATCGATCACAAAAACCCAAACTTGCACACATCACGTATAGCCCGGTCGACATTCGCCAGCTCTGTCCTCTTCTCTAGTTCTCACCCCACCACCGTTCTATCACAGTACGTCATCGTTGGCCTGTAGACAGCGCCGGTGCTGACGTCTCCACTACAAGGGCTCTGGCAAAGCTACGAACAGCTATAGATCATGGGCGAATATACTCCAATGATATTTATTTCTTTATAATTTTTTCTTCATTAATATGGTAAGAATTGGGGTTATAGCAATAAATAAGGCATCAGCTACACAATCTGTTCACCACCTATTCACCCAACTTTGACATCCTTGTATGCTTGTGTTGTTTTGGCTATTGGATTAATTGTTTTGTTAGTTTCATGTACGGTAATCTTGCAAGCACTAACATCCCACATCAAACGTACGGGGGCGTGATCTTAAGTACTTCTACATACGTGTTACTATCCACTGATAATATTTCACAGTTGTATTTACCAGATGGTATAATATGTTTTGCTATAAATACACGAATGAATAAATGTATGATAAATATCATAAAAATGATAGATAAATATATGTTAAAATATTATGAAATGATGGGGCTGTTCAGATTGATAATATTTTCAACCATACCCTTTTTTTTACAAAGTTAAATAAAAATGTCTACATTTAGTTTGTTGCCAAATTTGGTAAATACATAAGAATGCCAAATTTTGGTAAGGTTTATTTTGGTTACAATCTGAACAGACCTGATGATTTAATATGCTTATATGTTGAGCCCTATAACATACTGTTGATAGAAAACACGATGCCTGGGAGATCTGCTTAACTCCAGTGCAGGTCCAAAGCTCGCCTTCGAATGTATGAGCGTGCCAGTTGATTTGATCATGTAATCAACAAGAAATAGAGACAGAATTCGTGGTTAAATCTATAAATGATAGCCGATCGGCTAGGTACCGATGACATATCATTTATCTTTGAGCCGATGTCATATATGAATCGATCGGCGGTTATAAATAGGTGGTAAGGAACTAAATCTATTCGATCGGCTGTAGATATTAATGATATATAGTTCTTATATTAATATATACTTAAATCAAGTGATTGGGATAGATCGGTCACCATGCCAAGACAGTATAAATCACTTAGATCGAAATATATATTAATAACAGGATTATATATGTTTATAGCATAGCCGATCAGATAGATCTAGCGTGTATCGGCTAATACTCCGATACTACTCTATATCAAGATATTAAAACAGGTATAATGTATTAAACAGAAGCTTAATATATTTAGATTGCGACGATATCTTGACACAAAGGACGGATTTAACATGTCATTGAAGCATATAGATCGAATATGGTTAAATCAAATAAGATCGGCTGAAACTCCGATACTACCCTAATCGGCAACCAGAGTACAGGCTAGAGATTGATATTCTAAGCACGACTTAATAGATCAAACTCAACTGATGCAGCATTAAGTATGAAAAGAAGAGCAATATCTAGACAATCAAGCCGCTGGATGTTTTATAAAGTGGTAGATATCTTATATAATCTAAGACAACGTCGCTATTTAACCTAATCGGCTGCCTTCTATCAACAGATGTTAACCGATTGTAGGTTAGATGACGATATTGCCAAAGATTATATAAGATATATAATAACTTGACGAATTATACAGACAAGATTAGTGTCATAAAGATGGAAGCACTAATCCCGAGAACACAAGCCGTCATAACAAGTTTTACCTCTTGTTGAAGATCGAAACCGATGCAGCTCAACCCGAAAGCAAAAACTCGTCGAAGTAAAACTAAAGCAAAAAGGTGGCGATGCGCCGAAATTGTATTGAACGTGTATGTTAAAAATTACATAGGGCTCGGGGTCTATTTATACCCGAGAATTACAAGATATGTCTATACCGAACACGACCACTATCTCTAACAAACTCTAAGATACCATAAGTCATTGCGGCAGACTTTTGCCCAAACATATCTCTAAGGAAGTTACATAAAACATCCTAATTAATAGATACAATTGCCTTCTCATGACTCTATCCATATGCGGCAATCATCTTGAAGCACCTCAATTCAACCCAATGTCATACACCAGATTATACTGTCAGAATCGGCTGCATCAGCTCACCTAGTCCGACTCAGACCCAGCCGATCCTAATCGTAGCCGATCTGGATTTCAGCCGATTCTTGCTCTGTTCTCAGATCAATCTCCGCCTTCGACTCCACCTTGATCTAATCTCCGTTTCCGATAATGATATTACCAAATTTGGTCGTTAACACATACTAACACAGCATCTATGACTTGTTATGTGTATAAACTTTAAAATACAATAATTGCTAGTTAATGATCATGTGAGTTTATATTATAAGCTTTAGAATATAATGGGTCTATCTTATATATATAATGGAGTATAGATTAATACTCACGCTTAGCCACATCAAGAGAATTGTTTTAGCTGATTGAGGAGCCTATCAAATATCAGCCTTGTCTTTGTAGTATTAGGCCCTGAACAACATTGTCTTTCTGTTGCAGTGTTGTTCTTCTATTTGTCTATTTGATAATGTTTCTAAACCGCCATCAAACCTAAGCTACTATTTAGATTGCATTTGCTTATTACTATTATTAGCATGACATAATTTCCTTCTGAAATAGCAACGAAATCCAATTTTTAATGTTTATAGTTGCTCAGAAACAACACACGAGGTGTCATCTATTGCTTTATTTCATCTCGATGAAAAAAAACTCAACTTTTTAGAGTTATATTGAATTTTAAATGACATGCACAACATAATTTATTTTTAATAATATGTTGCAACACATGGGTACTTGGCTAGTATCTACTCGATCCGTCACTGTCGAAGAAAAACATAGGTGCATTTTAACTCGGTCCGATACAAATGTGTGCATATCCTTGCAACCTCCTTGCCCAGGTAAGCCAACCTATAGTTTTTGCAGGGAAAAGGAGAGAAGAAAATGTGCCCAAGAAAGAGCCCACAGAAGCCCAATTGTCAATAGCACTTCCAGGCCCATTTATATAGCCAGCCTAAGTAACAGAATTATTTTTTCCAGGTCTGAGATAAAACTGCATACAGAACAAATAAAGTGCTTCGAGCCTTGTAGCTTGATTATAAATAAAGTGAAATTATACATAACCTTTGGTAAAGTAAAAGAGAGAGAGAGAGAGAGAGGTCTGCATTACAGATCTCAACCGTCATAAATTATCTTTTATGTCAATGGATTAAATCATAATCAATGTAGACTGTGTTGAAGGAAAATAAGACTAGGGGGAAAAATCAGAACTACAATCAACTACCTTTTAGAATTACAAATACAGTTAGGAATCTTTCAGAAGAACTGTAAGAAAAACAATCATAACTCATCCCGCATGTACAGTTTTCTCAGCAAAGGGTTTCGCCATAAATCATAAATATTGATAAACATTGAGGACGGGGTCAAAATTTACGTTGGTTTGATCCAATAGAATGCAAAATCCTGAAACAAGGAAAAAGATCTAAGTATAGTTCATAAAGTTGTAGTAGTCTCGATGCTTGAGAAAGTGACTGGTACAGTATGAAATGTTTTTTTGGATAACATGCTGCAGTATGAAAGTGACTGGTACAGTAATAGAGATAGAATTTCACCTGAACTTTTGGGCATTATTGCTTTTGATTTGCTGGCACTTGGTATAAGATACAATGCAAACTGTGTATAGACGTCGTTGCTGAATTGAGTGACTAACTAAAATTTTTGTTGCTCCAAACATTTCTGAAAGAACCGGTTACCCTGTAGTATGAATTAGGCTAATGAGTACATCTGGAAACAAAACATACAATGATGCGAAGAATTTACAATAGTCAGAACCACTTTATCCATACCTTAAATGCAAAAGTGATATCTGAACTGTCAATTTGAAGCATCACTCTCCTGAGCTTATCTTCTTTGGATTGCCCAAGCTTCATGAATCCCTACAATGTAAATTCCATAAATACTTGATATGTTTTGAATTTCTTTCCATTTCTTTGGATTGGCCTTACTTCATGTTTGCATACCTGATCACTCAAAACCATGCACATGTTTGAAAATTCAAGCATTCCAACTGCTGGGACTTGGGTTGATCTACAAATTTCTATGTATGATTTATTGAGCTGCAAAAGGGCATTAAAATAGATTGGTTAGAATATTACAACATGTGGCTAACGAGCGTGATCTATCAGAATGTCTGTGAATAAATATTGAATATTACCTCTCCTAGAGTCGTTGCCTTTTTCTTGCAATGATGAAAAGTATTTGCCAATGCACACAATACCATCTGCGGAATGTCATTCGAGGAAAATGAATACAGCAAATTTGGAAAAAGAATCGAGGGGAACAGGAGATGGTAAATCTGAATTTACCTGCTGATGTTGGGGAAGACAGAGAATGCTATCTACTACAGGTGACTTGAAAGCCTTTGACAAAGCAATGTCCATGTGGTCAAATGTCACCTGTAATACTTATATTAGACAACAGGACACTGGAACAGGAAAGTAAATTACTGATCTTGTGAAAGAAATACAATGTGGCAATGTTTCATCATCCAAACAAAAGATAAATTTATTTTGGCGACCAGCGTTAGATCCAGGCAACTAAAAGCATGAAATACACTGTCAATCGCTTGTTTAGTAGTACAACAGTCATGCACATACAAATTTCTGTTTGGTGGTAAGTACTACACTAGAATCATGTTCTAGTGGTCTACCGACTACCGGCCAGAAGAAGTCAGGCAAAGAGACACAGATGGACCCAACCGCAAGGAAGCTTTACAGTTGAAGCAACTACTGTGAACTTGACTTACATCAATGTAGACATGAACAAAGGTGATTTCCTTTACAGGAACCACTTTGTTGGTTATACATGTTACCTATCAAAAGATGATTTCCCTCAAAAGAAAAAAAAAAGCTATCAAAAGACGGCATGACTTACAAGTCCAAATTCTTGATCAGAAGACTCTTGTAACCTTGCTTCAAAAACCTCTACAGCGCTCCTGGAATAAATAAAAATTAAGTTATGGACTGGCTTACCTTATGATGGAACAACATGTTAGTGCAAAAACGTAATAGTTGTCACTGCAAGAGAAGTGGGTTACCTGCAAACACCAAGAGCTTTTCTCATGTCTCCAGAGGCTGCAGCGACTTTCTGGTATAAGAATATTAAGCAAACATTGTTAATAAGTGAACACGTCAATTTCATGCTAACTGCACCATGATGTTCTCCTTAACAAAAAAAATACCTATGCTGCCTTGTGAACTGACATATTTCAAAATGAACTAGCTACAAATGAGTACTTGGGTAGTAATTGGACTTACCCTAGCACAAAATTCAAGGGCCAGTGGTTCAAAAACATCATACTCGAGAACCTATGTGTAGTATCACAAAAGGTAAGCAACCTATTTAAGTCAAGTAATTGAACACAGATGTGCACGAGCCACAGTTGGTCACATGATAAACGAATTACCTTCAGCCTATGCTTAATTATGTCAGATATTTGATCCTTGGAATAAGCACGGAAAGTCACAACAAGTGGTTTGCCTGTAAATTAGTGTTATAATGCCAAAGACATGTTAATTTCTTTCATACAATTTATGTTAACACTTTTCTTGCTAGTATTTGGTAAATGCTTACAATTTAAGGACTCAAGCTTTGGAAGAAACCGATCCGCTAGGTCTATAGCATTTGCAATACCTGAAAAAATAGCACCAATTGTCGATTGGCAAAACAGTATTTTGATATTAACATAATTACAAAAGTACAAGAAGCATCCTTTGACATCTAACCTATCAGTATGCATCTTGAGAATTGGTAAGTCGTAAGCATGAAAAGATCATGTAGCACAGCCCGGTCTCTTGTTATTAAGTAGTCCATCTCATCCACAACGACCAACCTACAGAGGAGCAGTAATATGAAAATTGTGATGCCAGGAACTAAATGGCACGAAAAAGGCCAGGTTGTGAGGATGGGTACTGGGCTCAAGCAGTCCTTACAACATCCTTCTTGGGGCTGATTCCTTGTGGGAAAACATGGTTTGAAGTTGCTGAAGTGGTGACAGTTTGCAGGTTGCCTTCTTCCGAGTCTGAAACTTCGCAAGTATCTGCATCAAGAACTTGTCAGTGCCTGTCAGCATTGCATAGATATATCGAGTCAATAATTAGGCAACAGTAAATACCTTACTAAAAATTTCATGCGTCTTTGCTAGGCTTGTACAATTGATCGATAAGGCATCAGGTGTCTCCATTCCGGTCTACGAGGACAAACAACCATATCAACAACTACACACTCCTATTTCAGGAATCTTACAGAACCATGAGAAATTGAATTTACCTCGTCTGCCCAACGCGCCACGCTCTCCTTAACCTTGTTAATCGACAAGGTCTTCCCTGTACCAGGGCACCCGCACACATACAGGCTCCCTGAACGCTCCTGCTCCACGCAACCCTTGCAGAACTCAAGCACGCGACTCTGCTCATCATCTCGGCAGACCAATCCGCAAGAGGGCACCGTAGCCACGTGAAGCGCCTCCTTGACCACCTGCATCTGAGCGGGATCTGCAGAACAGATGAATTCTTTCGTCAGATCCCAATCAGAACTCTGAGCCCTACTGAAATGGGATTCTGGAGACTTGCCTCGAGGATTCCACTTGGGCTTCTCGGCCGCGACGAAGTCGCCGTAAAGCCGCTTCCTAGATGACCTGGGCGACGCCGAGAGCAGCTTCGGGGTGCCAACCTGCAAGATCGAGCAATTGCTCCTCATTGCAACAGAATACCAGGTAATATGCAGCAGCAGCAGCAGCACGCCAGCATCTGCATAGTCCTGCACTAGAGATCGAGGGGAGGTGGGGGACTTACGATTCCGACATTGGGGGATTTGTGGGGGGATGTGAACTGAGACGCGTCGGGTGACCCTGCGGCTCGGCGAGGGCTCGTGAGGCGCCGCTTGGCGCTTCGTGGGGTGGCGATTGCCGTCGGCGAGGCCGTGCCCGCCGTTGACGCGCTCGCTGTGGCGCTGCGAAGCGTCGGCATCGAGAGAGAGAGAGAGAGAGAGAGAGAGAGACTGTGGGATCGGAGGCGGGAGAGATTTGGGAGGGAAATTGGGGAGGAATTGTTTGTGGGGGATGGGGCGAGAGGTGGGCGACAAGAAAAAGGGCGCGGTGGTGGAGAGTGGCGCGAGAGCCAAGCCCGCCAAAGGGTTTCCCACCCTCGCGCGGGAACGACACGAAAGTGTGAAAGGGCGCGTTGAAAATTTTGGGGACCGCTTAATGCTTCGCGGGTATGGGTCCCCCGGAAGCGCATCGTCTGCCGTCGTAACTATAACGGCACGTCTGCCGTCGTAACTATAACGGCACGGCCATGCCGTTGGCAAATCCTGATCGTTCCTTTTCTTTGGACGATTAGGATTTAGAAGGATCCAAATACCAGGCCTGCAAGTCCATTTCAGCCCACTAACCAATCGGCTGGTGTGGCAATATAGGCGTTGCAACCTTCTGACGCGAGAGAAATGGCGCGCGGCAAGCAGATAACTTGGCGCCAATTTCACCCATTCATTTTAGAGGATAGAAACCTATAGAAATCAGTTTTCACCTTTCTCTCCAAAGGGTCTGATGCCATCTCTTGATCGAGAGTTTCAAGAGGCCAAAGTATATGCAAGCAAGATCTGAGTTAAAGAAATGTCTTCACTGGATAATTCTGAAGATCGAGGTACCCCAACAACAACAGAGACTCCAAATAAGTAAGTCATATTATCATCTTCATCTGTAATACATATAATTAGTTCTCCTATGATTAAAACAATATTACAATTGATTGAAGCAATGAGATTGAGGGAGATCAGACGCTAGTACGAAAGCAATCGCTGCAAGAAAAACCTGCTCCTTCTGAGTCATCAAACTTGTGAGTGCCATATCAGGATCTGATTCATAGTTCCATATGTACCATCTAAATCCAGTCCGACCATTTCATTTCATATCTTACATTAATCATGTTTGGTAAAATAAGAAGCGATGCCATGTTTTGCAGCACAAATAACACACCTTCTTGGATACCTCGAATAGGCATGAATTTTAGTTGTGCTGATGAGGCTTGGAACTTTTGGGTATTCTATGGAGGTCAAGTAGGATTCAATGCTAGGAAGAAGTATGAGAACACAAGTAAAATTGACAAGGTAGTTACATCATGTAGATTTGTATGTTCCAATCAGGGCTACCGAGCACAGGACAAGAGAGATCACTTGACAAAACTTCCCCGAGCTGAGACAAGAACAGGTTGTGATGCCCGAATGGGAATTACCTTAGATAGGGATTCTGGTCTTTACACCTTGCATGATTTATCTATTGAACACAACCACATGCTCCAACTACCAGAGACAAGTCATCTAATGTCTTCACAACGGAAGATTTCTAAAGCACAAGCTACTGAAATTGAATTGGCCGATGATTCTGGAATCAGTCCCAAACCCTCTAGCTTCGTCTCTTCCATTTTCTGCTCATGCATGCGTGCTTGACTTCTCTGATTACAGCAACCATAGCTGCGTACTGTTGCCAATGCTTCCAGGACTGATTGCTGCTAGCAACAGGAGCCAAATTAATTGACAAAAATGATGGGAAGCAAACCTGGGTAATATCAGGGAGCTTATTGCTGTTATTGGCAGCAAAAATTTATGGTTGAAGCCACTGAATCGGCGCTCCTGCTTTGCAGTGATTGAGAGATGCGTGGAGAGAGAGACAGAGGTGAGAGATGAAGATGGGGAAAGTGAAATCGATAAAAAAAAGCATCGGGACTTCTCTCGCGTCAGAAGGTTGCGGCGCCTATATTGCCGCACCAGCCGATTGGTTAGTGGGCTTGAATGAACTTGCAGGCCTGGTATTTGGATCCTTCTAAATCCTAATCGTCCAAAGAAAAGGAACGATCAGGATTTGCCAACGGCATGACCGTGCCGTTATAGTTACGACGGCAGACGATGCGCTCCCTCCTCTCAGTGAGACGGTTACAGTGTACGGGTTCATACCTGTACCCATTCGCCCGCTCATCAAAGAGCGGCTACTCCCTTCGAAATGGCGAGTTGTGCCGCACGCGCCGCCGCCGCCGCGGATAGCAGCCTGGGGATCAGCCGCCTGCGCCCCTGTGGCTGGGAGTCGGAGGCCGGAGATGGAGTAGGAGCGCTGGAGCGGGCGTCGGGCAATCGGAGGAGAGGTCAGCCCCGGCGGTCGGCGGCGACGTCTCCTCGAGGCTCGGTCAGGACCGAGCGAGGCCAGGCCAGCGTCGACGTCAAGCAAGCACGAACAGGAGGTGAGGAGCGCAGGAGGCTGGAGCGTCGTCGGACATCGGCCTGGCGGCCGGCGGCGGGCGAGTCGGGGGCTCGCGGGCCCGAGTGTCAACTGTCAAGTTGGCTATGTGACCTAGGTTACAAAGATGAGCATCAGATGTGCTGCTAGTGGGCCGTGGGCCGTGGGCCAGTTGGCTAGGGAAGACCGTTGGGCCAGTTGGAATCGTGTTTTTATAGGCCTGGCAACTCTGTCAACTACATCTCTACTATTTAAAAAATTAAAAGGTGTTTCCATCGTCTAAAAATTAAAAGGTGTTTCCGTCGTCCGTCCGTGAAAAAGGGCAAAAAAAAAAAAAAGGTGAAAAAAAATCAAATCCGGTTGCATCATAATAAGGCAAAAAAAAAGCAAAAAAAAAATTCATACAAAATTCAATCGGACAACAAGCGATTGAGAAAAAAAAAGGGAAGAAAAATAAAAACATCACCGAGAAGCCACCAACGCCGTCGTCGCCACCGAATCCGACCACGGGGCGTCGTCGGATCCCCTCGGCCGTCGCCACTACTGCCGGATTCATCCACGACCACCGCCGACGCCACCACCGTCGCCAGAGGAAGAAGAGAGGCGACGGAGGGAGCTGTCGCTGCCAGATCCGCAAGCGGTAGCCGCCACCACCGACAGATCCACCCGCGGAGGCTGACGACATCGTCGTCGCCGTCGACGTCGCCGGATCTTGAGGGTGGAGAAGGCGTCATCACCGAGAGGGAGGGACGGGCATTGAGGCAATGAGGAGAGGGAAAGGGAGAGGGGGAGGGACGAGTGTCACCGTGCGTTATCACCGCCGTACCCCGCTGTCGCCGCGCCTTGCCAGCGAGACAGGAGGGAGAGGGGGAGAGGGAGTGGCGCCGCCGGAGTGGAGAAGGGAGGGGAAGGGAAGCGGCGCCGCTGGAGGGGTGAAGGGAGAGTCGGCGCCGGTGAGGGGAGGGGGAGAGGCCGCGTCGTGCGGGGAGGCGGCCGGCGGTGGGAGGGGGGATGGGGGATGGCTGAGCCGATCGGGGAGGGGGAGAGGGAGGGTTAGGGTTAGGGTTTTGATTGATTGGAACTGATCTGAGCCATCCATCAAAACAAACGGCTCGGATTGATCGAGCGTTGGGCTGGCCTACATCACCGGACCGCACCATTTGGGCCACACGTGGGCCGATGGTCCAACACATTTTTGGTTACGGCCCGCACGGCAAGTGAGGAGTGTGGGGATATTATGTAGACTTTGGTCGCTTGCAGGCTGAAGAAAAAAATAGGCTGAAAATGGCTCATAGAGAAAGAATGATTTTTATTTAAATAAATGCTTAAATGATGTTTGTATTATCAAAATTAGCAATTAAGCTCAGTAAATTCCAAGAAAATTTCAAAAAGTGTAATTAATATGGAGAATTTAATGAAAATTAAATCCAACCATATCATTTTATTTCTCACACTTATTTTACTTGTAAATTAATTTAATTATATACCTACCTACTTAAAAAATACCCAAAATATTCCAGAAAATTTGTATTTCATTTAATTATAATTTAATATGTTGTAATTCAATTTTCTCTTTTTTTTCTTTCCGTGGCAATGCACGGGCAGTTTTGCTAGTTATTCATAGAAGGAAATAATAGTTAATTTTACTCTCTTGAACTATTTGATTTGAGAAATTATCTATTTATAAACTGTTTTTTCCTCATTACCAGTAAACTATAAAATATGATCCATTTTACTGCTTAGTAGATTTTTTACTCTTTGTATCTTCTTTTCATGTTGATTTTTGAGTTGTATTTTTTTAAGCCAACGATGACACTATTACTAAAGCTCAAAAATATTTTCAAACATTTTCATGACTATTTGTTTGGACTTAGAAATCTCGATGTTTAAATTAATCTTAGATGCTTCCAACCTATATAAACAGGTTTAGAAAAAAAAAGTTCTTAGAAAAATGTTTAGAGGCAGGGTGTATTGCACGTCCCAAACTTTGTCATTTAGGTGCAAACACAACGCCTTAGTCACGTGAGCATGTGGCATACAACATCAAAGGTAATCACCTTTTACTGACGTGGCGACTATATGGCGGTGTTGACTTGGTCCTCGTCATACGTAGCGCCATGTGGTGACCACATAAGCGTCATGTCAACACCACGTAGGACGAAGATCATGTCAACACCACGTCAGCGAAACCACCCTCCAAAATCGTCGAGGGAGTCAAGTTACACCGGTTTTAATAGTTGGAGGTCAAGATATTGTGGTTTAAGGATACGAATTAGATTTGATCACTAGTTAAGGGACTCAAAGTGAACTTATTAAAAAAAAAGGTGTTTGGACTTAGCTTCGGCTTGGTCTTTTAGGTTGGGACTAGGCTCAAACCTGACTTTTTAGCTTGAGCTAGGGTGCACAATTCTATTTGAATTTCTTCCGTAATTCGAAGCTCCCGGAACCACTTGGTTTTATAAAATCCTTTATCGAAATTCTTCATATCAATGGGCTTGTATTTTGACCCTAAACGAAATTGTGAACCTTGGTGTAGTAAAAATGGCTTCAGTGATGTCTGAAACTAAGGGTAGATACTCGACGTAATGTCTGCTTGGAAGCATAAACCAATGATTTTCATAGTACCCTACGCAATACAGTACCGTGCGAATTGGACTAGTCTTCAAATCAAACCAGATAAGATCATGAGCTGCCATGTACGGTGAAACGGTTGCCAGCTCGTCGGCTTGGTCATCTCAGCCGGCGCGCACCGATGACCGATGCCCCCTCGCAGCATATGGCCGAGCTGGGCATCGCACATGATGGGCCTCGTCTAATCCCGTAGTGCGCCGCGGCCCGTGCGGCACGCCATGTGCGACGAGGCCTCCCCTTATCTGGAACGCCGAAAACTGAAAGCCCTTGTGCCCCACACACACACCGCCGAACTTCTGTCGTTAGCCTTCTTTCCTTCGTCCGACCCAGATCCCGCATCACGAGAAGGCGCGTCGGCTAGGGGACGGAACGGAGAAAACGAATGTCGCGTTTGCACCGGCGCAATCCAATCCCAACCCCAGTTGCCGCCGTCGCCAGCACAAGTACGCCAGTCGGTCACACCGCACCACTACGCTGCGCTGTGCAGCCGACGCGCATCGGCTCATGCACAGCACGCACCCTCGGAGTCGCGGACCGGGGTAAACTCGTGAGAACGCTCGCCAACCGCTAGCTGTCACCCGCGTGTGCCGGCGTGCGTCGCGTCCGGCAACAGCGGGTTAACCGGCGAGGCGCGCGCCTCCTCGCTCGTGGCGGGGCGTCCCTGTCTCCCCTCAGCCTAGACACGTCGCCCTCGATCGGTGATCGAGTGATCGACGTACGGGACACCGGGGCCGCGATCGGATCGGTTTTCTTGGGAGATCGAGAGCTCTTTTTCACGACAGCGACGGACGTGCGTTTGCGTGAAAGTCTTGTCCGCCTAGAAACTTAACGAGCTAATCCTGGTGACGGATTGGTCAGATACTCGGATCGGGTCGTGGACGTTTACCGGCCGGTCGTCCTTGTCCATTCGTTATTCGTACTAGCGCGCAGGCGGCAAGGAAGGGAGGCGTCGGAGGCCGGCTGGTCAGCTACTACTACCTTCGTAAGCTCTTATCCGGAAATCATGATGAGATGTTATTGGTGGCCATAATCTTGGCCCCGTATCGGCATGGACCCGGCCTCCCTTCCCAGACGTCACGACTCACGCGCCGGAGCCCAGCCGTTGATGCACGAATTATGGCCCTCGACGAAACGACCGTGACGGGTTTTAATGGCGGGTTCATGCACATGCACGAGCACGCTCGTTGCCAGTTGGGATCATGCACCACCCTCGGTATAAAGAGGGGTCAATGTTATCCACAATGCAGTTGTAGCGGCTGTTCGCGGTTCATGGGTTGAGAGGCGAGTACTCTCGGAGTCAGAGAGAAACCGATCTGAATTTTTCGCATGCCCGTTTCCTTCATTGAGTAAACTAATCCCTTGAAAACAAATACCATATGATGTCTCTATACGTTTGAGGTAATCATTTGAACTCGCATGCACAGTTATGTATACTGAAACGTTGCGTAACTGAACAAAATCAGTCGGTGCACGTCATATGCTCTGTCGCACAGGGTAACTTAGGCAGGTAATCTGCCGACCTTACATGCTTTTCATCTCGCGTACGAGCACGTCTTCTTCAGCTAAAAAGCCTCAACCCGTCCCCAGCTAGCCTGTATCGATCTCCATCTCTCCTGGATATGCACAAAAACCTATTCTCAACCTCCCATTCCTCCGGTCAACTTAAAAAAAAAAACGCATTCGTACTTATCGCGAAAATACCAATCCTCCAAAATTGAATTAATTTACGCCACTAACTAAACAGCACAGGTCGTCGTGGAATATACTAGGTCAACCAATATGAAAATCCACTCGAGCGATAAGCACCGCGAATAGCAAGGCGACACATGGCAAAACACGGCGCTTCCCTCCCAAATCAACGCATTACGCATATCCACCCAACCTTCTTGGTTGCTTCGGCTACTGCCGGTTCTGACTAGTAGGAGGCTGGGGAGCAGGGCCGCGCGGTGTCTCGGCGCGTACGCCGTCAAAGTTCGGCAGCGCTCGCGGACGGCCGGGCGGGCGGTCGTCCGGCAAATCCACGCCACGACCGCTGAATTTTCGGTCGCGGCGGCGATCGACCCGCTGGTGGAATTTGAGCGTGGGTGACGGTGGAATTTGAGCGTGGGTGATGGGCTAGGTGCACGTCGTATCAGCATTGCATTGCGACGCCCTACTGAAATTGATCCGGTTGTTTCGCACTAGCCAATAGACACACGACTACACGAGCTGCTGCCTACTTGGGCTTGGTTTAGTGCGTTACGACAAGACAACTTTTTTGCTGAGATAATTAGGAGAGAGATACTTAGGCGTCAGTATAACCGAAAGTTCACAGTAAGTGAAGTAGTAATTGTGTAGTGCATATGGGATTATTTCCACCGACCGTGCTTAATTTATGGTTTAGAACTGTCGACCCCGTCTATAAGTGGTATCACACAGTCGTTTTGAGTATAGTGTAAAGAAGGCCATAGCATGCAGTCTAGATTGGTTGTATTTGTATTCTTACGTGCTCAACAACCCGAGAAGATAAGGAGAAAGCTCAGAAAGACAACTTTAAACGCTCACTACATATTACAAAATTGGTTGACAAGAACGTTTGGTGCTAAATAAACCGAAGAGGGAAAACTCAGTTGAGGTCAACTGCCTATCCTAGATATCTATCACTACCGAAAGCCGGGCGGGGCGAAACTGCAAAAGCCTTTCGATGAAAGTTACGTACGCTCACGATATGGAATAACATATAGGAAAATAACAGAGCTACGACGTCGTTCATTGACGATATTGCCGACCCAAAATCATCATACATGCTGCGCCGTTCGCTTCGGGAACTAGTATTCCAATATAGAATCATCCACAAGTATAAACCACAAGCAAAGTAGGGCAAGCGAACGAAGTTTTCATTTGATAGTATTCTTTTACGAGACTAGCGAGAGAAACAGAGACGCCGTTTATCCATTCAGCGAACCTCGTTCGTGCCGGCCTACCTAGGGTGGGCAACGCAAGTGCGCAACGGATAGAGATGTCCGCGTTAAGCATTACATCGAATACAACGTCGGCGTGAGCTGCCCCAACGCAAGAGAACATCGCGATTCACGACGACCTGGACATCACGAGGCCACGAGCGCATCCGCCGTTCACAGTTCACACAACTAGAGGTCACCTCTCCTTCATCCGGATAAGCTCAAGATCTCTTTCTTTTCTCACTTTGCACGATTATTTATTGCCTTTCTCTGCGAACGCCAGCCACAGGCACAGGGCCCGGCCCACCCGCGGTTTCCAAAATTGAATTTCGAATCACGCTGCAGCAGCGTGGCCCACACGCCATGCTGGCACGCTCCCCTTGTACAGCTGTAATACTCCACTTCCACCTAGCGCAGCAGTATATAAAGACGACTCATCTGCTAATTCTCGAGGCCAAACTCAAAGACAAGCGAGGATTAGCGATCGATAACTGGAGGGAGTATACAGTTGGAAAATTCAAACTAGACGCTGATCATATCGAGGGAGAGTTCAACTCAACTGGAGCGCGGAGATGGCAACGCCCAAGCTGTCCCCTGTATCGCCGGTGCGGCCGGAAGATAAGCAGCGCGCGTCCTCCTCGTCGTCGTCGGGGGCGGTGGCTGCGCCTCTGAGGGTGCAGGACGATACGGCGGTCGAGGAGTACGAGCAGTACCTGCGGCTTCCGGAGCTCGCAAGGCTGTGGAAGGATAGGTGCTGTCCGGAGTGGGCCGACGAGGGCCTCGTCAAGCCGGCGCTGCAGGCGCTGGAGATCACCTTCCGCTTCATCTCCGTCGCGCTCTCCGACCCGCGGGGCTACGCCAGCCGCCGCGAGCTCGCGCGGCGGCTGGAGGCGCTCGCGGCAAGGGAGGTGGAGCTGGTGGCCGCGCTCTGCGAGGGCGAGCAGTGCCCGCCGCTGGCCGAGCTGAGCGCGTCCAAAGGCGTGCTCCCGCGGGAGCGGAGCGCGTCTGAGGTGTGGAAGATTCCCGGTAGCGCCGCCGCGGTGGTGTGCCAGGTCAGCGAGGCCAGCCTGCTCCCGCGGCTCGCCGCTTGGGACAAGTCCGAGACCGTGGCGGCCAGGATCAAGTACGCCATCGAGAGCCAGATGCAGGGCTGCGTGTTCACCCTCGGCCTCGGCGAGCCCAACCTCGCCGGCAAGCCGGTGCTCGAGTACGACCGCGTCGTGAGGCCGCACGAGCTGCACGCCCTCAAGGCGAAGATCGCGCCGGAGCCCAAGACCGGCTACCGCAACAAGGAGAACGAGGCGCTGTTCACTATCCACCAGATACTCGAGTCCTGGCTGTGCGCGGCCTCACAGCTTCTCACCCGCCTAAACAACCGGATCGAAGCAAGAAACTGGGAGGCCGCGGCGAGCGACTGCTGGATCCTGGAACGCGTCTGGAAGCTGCTCGCCGACGTCGAGGACCTGCACCTGCTGATGGACCCGGACGACTTCCTGCGGCTCAAGAGCCAGCTCGCAATACGGGCGGCACCGGGCTCCGACGCGTCCTCCTGCTTCCGCTCCAGGGCGCTGCTGCACGTCGCTAACGCCACGAGGGACCTCAAGAAGCGTGTGCCATGTGTGCTTGGCGTCGAGGTGGACCCCAACGGCGGGCCGAGGGTGCAGGAGGCAGCCATGAGGCTGTTCCACAGCCGGCGGCGCGGCGAGGGCGAGGAGGCCGGCAAGGTGGAGCTGCTGCAGGCGTTCCAGGCCGTGGAGGCGGCGGTGAGGAGGTTCTTCTTCGCGTACCGGCAGCTCGTGGCGGCGGTGATGGGCACCGCGGAGTCGTCGACCAACCGCGCGCTGTTCTCGCCGGCGGAGGAGATGGACCCCCTGGCGCAGATGTTCCTCGAGCCGCCCTACTTCCCCAGCCTCGACGCCGCCAAGACGTTCTTGGCCGACTACTGGGTACGGCGGATGGCCGGTGACGGTGACTCTGCTTCGTCCAGGCGAAGCTGAGCGGCGGAAATAGTGGCGGATGGATGCCGCCGGACCCTGAATTTTGCAGTCTTTCAAGGTTGATGATACATTTAATACATTTATGATTTATTTCTGTAGGGTAGTGGTCGCGTTCATCTTTCAGTTCGAGTAAATGTTTTATTGGGAGACATTTTGGTTTAGATTTGATTACTAGATGGTAACGGGAAAATGATCTAGGATCATATATTTCAATTAGAGTACTGATGATGTATATAATGCTCTGTAAATATGTTTCAATGGATTATGTGTCCGATATTGATAATGTTTGATGTACTACGAATTGTTTCAAAGGAAAAATTATTTCCTAATCAGATAGTAGTATTTTTTATATATGTTTATATACCTAGTTACAGCAATGCTCTATAAATGTAATCCTGGTGATGAATCAAATCAAGAGGATGTGGCTCAGGCCATCTTTTGAGACTTAAGCTGACCATGTCCTAATAGAAGATTTGAGCGGACTTGGTATATATGGACATGAGTTAGAGTATGCAACTAAAAGTAACGACCGAGCTGTTTATGTAATACTTGCACATGACAGATTTGGAAGAACAATCAATTACCCCCTCATCAACAGAGAAAAAAAAAGGAAGAAATTCCAGCGACTAATCCGGACATCACAAAACCGATAAGGTAGACCATAGAGGAAAAAAACAGCATTCAGCCAAAGATCATTGTACTGAAGCTATACAACCGCATTTTTACAGCTTATCTAACTGACTAACATGCCAACTACTACAGGAAGGGTTAAGGAAGGTTCAAATTAAGTAGGCTGCTTCTAGAATCTAGACGTGTTAGACACAATTTCGCCGTTCCTTACGTTCAAAGAACCGGTCCAAGTCCAACTAGATATGAACTAGCTAGACCACCATTTTGTCCAGATCATCCCGGCAGGTGCACTGGGCAACATGTATTCGTCGAGACCGCGTCACCAGCACATGCCTCCCAGTCAGAGGCAGTCTGAGTTCCTCGGTAGGACGACCCAAATGGCTAAACCAGTGGGCGATTGCACGCAAATCCATTGTATCTGCGCAGCTGGGTATAATTCCTCGGATTGCACTAGCCGGAAAGGGAGATGAACACCATCAGCATGCAAATGGGCATACAAATACAACATGAGTTGTCTATTCATGTAGTGGTCGTAAAAAAAAAAGAAAAAGCAAAACACTATATCAACATTCAAAGGATTATAACCTTTTCTTTTCTCAATTACTGCATAAAAGGCACACTTGCAAACACACCATCAACATGCGCCCATTCATTTCAAGGTACTCCCAAAAACTCTCCGCAAGCGTCGTCGCCAACCTTAAACGTATCTACGTGTGTAGAACGAAGCACCTTTCATCCCTCTGTCATATAGTATTACTTTTAGAAATCTCCCTGCCATCTTTGATGAACCAAAAAGGCCTAGTACGAAGGAAAGGAGATCAAAAGGGCATATGGGCCATTTCTGACGGTAAGGCCTAATTTATTGGGCCTACATGCCAGCATGTCCAACAGCAACATCATGACTCACGATGCCGACGAAATTGAAGGAATAAGTTCATCTGAAGTCCCTTAACTTGTCAATGAATCCGATTTTCATCCTTCAACCAGAAAACCAGATATAACAGATCCTCAACTATCAAAACCGGTGCAAATGAGATCCCTCGGTGGTTTACAGCGGTTTTGGCTGACGTGGCTAGTTTGACTCGGTCTTCATCTAAAGTGGCGTTGACGTGACACTTACGTGGCAGTTTGATCCGAAAAAATAATAAAACCAATGGGACTCACATGCCAGTTTCACACACAAACTAATAAAAAATGATGGGGACCACATGGACCCCACATGCTAGTCTACTCACCCCTCATCTTCTTCCTCCTCTCCCCTCTCTTCGTCTCCCTTACGCTGGGAATGGGCCCCAGATAGAGAAGAGCGGCCACAAGACATCTCTCTCTTACGCGCGCTCGCTGGTAGGCCAAGGAGCTCGAGGAGGGAGGAAGGATGTCGGGAGGGGACACGAGGTCGCCTAGCTCCTTCCTGTCGATCATCGCCCTTCTCTCCGATGGCCGCCACGAGAAACCCGCTCTTGCCGCCGGCGCTTAGCATGGCGCGCGGATGCATGCTGTCCAGCCTCGGCGCTGCTGCAGAAGGCGGTAACTAGGCAACATGATAAATCAGTAACTAGGCAAGCTACAACAATGCAATCAAGACCTTCATCCCAGCTCAGTTGCCCCAATTGCATCTAATTTCAATCCAAACAAATCAAGGCATCCACAAGCGTAGCATCTTCGATCTAAGGATAATGAATAGGAACCAAAAAAAAGGGCGAACCCCTTCTTCTGCTCGGGATTACTCGAGCGCGACGGCGGCGCCGACGGCCTTGAGCTTGGCGGTGAGCGCCGGGAGGCCTCTCCGCCACACTCGTCGGCCTCCCCGCATCCTCCCTCTCCGCTATCTCATCTCCATCCTCGTCATCTCCTGATGAGGTGGCGGTGCGCGGCTCTCGTAGTCGTCATCGTTGGGCAAGGAGGGAGAGGGGGCCTTCTTGCCGCCGGCTTGCTCCGACCACAACGGCACCACCGCCCCTGCTCTGCCGGCCGAAGAAGGGAGAAACAGATAAGTAGGGAGAAACAGAGAGGATAGAGATGATATGTGGGGTCACATGGGATCCACTATATTTTATTATTTTGTGTGAAACTGACATGTGGGCCCCATGGTTTTATTATTATATTTGGATCACATTGCCACGTAAGCGCCACGCCAGCGCACGTCGGACGAAGACCTGGTCAAACGATCCACATAGGCACCACGTCAGTCAAAACCGGAGATAAATACTATCGAGGGACCTCGATTGCACGGTTTGATAAGTTGAAGGATGTGTTGTATCCGGTTTTCAAGACTAAGGATCATATTTGGCGACAAATTGAGGTATCTAGAATGAACTTGTTTCGAAATTGAAGCATCTGATCTAAAGGATCGGGCTTCGGCCCAGTTAAGATACATTTAGGGCCGATTCAGGAGGCCCGTTTCCCGTGAAACCAACTTTCCGGCAAGGATTGGGCCGTCCCCACGTGGTTTGGGCCTCCCACATAGGACATTGCACTGAACTCAGGAAAAATCTGTCATATCAGTCAGAGTTCGGAATCAGACGGTGTCATGGACTATGGAGTGGCTGGCTACTGCCTACTGGTTACTACCATGGTGTATTGGTGTGAAAGATGCTGAATGACACATTTGGCACTTGAAGTTAATACGACAAATGTTACAACTTAACTCCAGTAGCAGAGTAGTAATAATAGTTAATTAAGGTACTACAATTATTCGCCTTTATTCCCGGGCTACTTCCAGCAGTGAAGTACGCCGAGGCAGCTAGCTGCATGCAATGCATGCATCCTTGGCTGGCGCATCACGCGCGCAGGCAGCCGTTTGAGTGGTTCGGGGAGAGGAACTGAACAGCTTTGCTGCACGTCAAACTCTTGCGCTCTTTTTGTCTGCGAGCCAACATTTAAAGCCCAGATAGCTGCGCACCATCCGCGGAAGCAAGCAAAGACTGTAGTACATGGAGTAGACGTACCAGGTGCTACCACTTTCCACGCTCCAATACCTCAACAGTAGTAAACTACAAAATTAAAAGCATCTTTTCGAGGAATAGGAGTACTAATTTTAGGGGGAAAACTATGAAATCCACACATTGATCCATGCATAAAAGGTACTAGTACAACAAGTTAAAGTTCCCACACCAGTACACCACATGGACAATGCAAAGCTCGAATGATCACCGAATGTACCAAACAGAAATACAAGAAAAGCTTAAACGCGCACTGCAGTCATACAGTCAGGTATGCATTGTACTTGGAGAAAGGTAACAGGAGCTGCTAAAACAAAAGATAAATTTATTAACCGAGCGGTGATATGGCATTGGCACTGGCACTGCGAACCTCACTTGAACCTGGTCAGGTCGAGAGTGACCTCAGCCTCGGACGGCATCAGGAACTGCCTGGAGGCCATCTGGATGACGTCGACGTCGTCAGGGTCGCCGCTGCCACTGCCGCTGCTTGGGCCAGCTTCACTGTAGTAGCCACCTGCGTTGGCATGGTTGCTGGATTGGCAACCGAAATCCAGGCTAACCGGGTGGGTTCCCGGGAACGGGTGGTACAGGCTCAGGCAAGAAGAATGCAGGCCCTGATCAACGCTAATCCCTTGCTGCTGCTGCTGCTGCACCGGCGGTGCCGGCACATGCATCCCATAGTGCAGGTTGCCCTGCGGGACGAACGGGAGGTAGTACCCCTCTCGCTGATCGTTGTAGGCGTTGAGGTCCGGCGCCAGTGACATGTTCAGGTTCATCGCCGCTAGCTGCTGGGTGGTCGGTCCAGCCGGGTTACCCAGGCCAAGGTAGATCCCCATTTCCGATGGGTTGGTGCCGGTGGGCTCCTGTGTGGCAACGGTTGGACCTGCGCTGACCGATCCGGCACCGTGCACAATGACGTCGGAAGGCGGTGCAGGCACGGCCGGTGGCGGCGGTGTGGTCTCAACGGCCGACGGGTACTGGCTGCGGATGTACTCTTCAAGGGGGGAGAGCTGCCCCGGCGGTGAATTCACCACTTGCACGCTCTTCTTCTTCATCCGACGCTTCGACTTCAGGCTCCGCTTAGTCGCGTTCCAATGGTTCTTGACAGCATTCTCCGACCGGCCAGGGAGGCATCTTGCGATTACTGACCAACGGTTCCCATAAGTCTTGTGTGCTTCGATCAGCATCCTGTCGTCCTCCTCAGTCCAGACGTCCTTCTGCAGTATAAATTGTACAGTTTTTGAATACTAATTTCATCCACGCAATCGGCGACACAACACAAGAAAATATGCCCTCGAACCTTCTAAGATCGGTAGATAGTTGGAATAATTTAAATCTAAGCAGTACATTTATTAAGGATAGAAAAATATATCTATATATGATCATTAACGGCTACCATATTCATGCAGGGTGTTGTATAACACTGTTGTTGTTTACTCCGTAGTTATAAATCAAGAAGAGATTTAACCTTATAAAATGTAATACGCATTAATTGAAGTAGGTACAATTTTGGACAGATTTGCCTTTGTTTTTTTTTCCTGCAGGGACATGATGAGTCTGAATCTTTGATCTTGTAGCCCAAGATCTACTGATTTTCTAGTCCTAAAAACATCATATAAAACGGAGGCTTTGGATTACTCGGTGCCTAGAACATTAAGATTAGCATACACAACAACCGCAACAAAATGAATTATTTCGATAATCCCTATGCTAGAATACTGCTTAGCATGATTTTAATGTAAATCTAAAAAGAAATCACCCCTCAAAATCACATGGATGAAGAAACCCCCTTAGATCTACATAATAATATAGGAATCAAGAAGTTAAGAGTAAAACCTTGATGTCTGGGCGCAAATGATTGGTCCATCTTTCGCGACACTGCTTCCCGATCCGACCTGGGAGGCTCTTTGCAATCGTTGCCCACTTACGATCTCCATGGAGTATCACCATTTGTTTGAGAACTCTGAAAACAAGTTAACACATAGATATAAAAAATCTTGTTAGTGAGAAAAATAAAATCTCACTAGAAGTCGATTGATCTATTACTTACTCATCTTCTTGCCTTGTCCATGCTCCTTTGAACGACCCAGGGTTACCATTGTTGCCCCCAAATCGTGACGACTGCTGTTGAGGAACAACAACCCCTACTGGAACGGTAGCCATGGCGCTATAGCTAGCTGCTAGGGCCCCCTCTGGCATCACAAAGCTAGATGGAGCTATGCCTATCCCTGCAACAAGAAACCCCATGTCCGGGACTGCCATGGTGATGGGAGCACCACCAGGACTTTGGTAGTGGGCACCGGTGCCATGGCTAGAGCTTGCAAAGTACATATGCGGCATCCCAGATCCCATCATCGTCGGATCTTGGTTGAGGAAGGAGTTACCTGCAGCCGCCATCAACTTGTTCTTTGAGGTTGGAAGCATAGATTTTTGATTGTGGGTGGAGGATTTTCTAGGAAAGACAGAATGAGGTCGATTGAGAGAAAGTCAATAAGGGGATAGAATAGTGTGATGGAGACCTGAGTCCTCTCTTTATATAGGAGAAGAGGGAATGCATCAGCCGTTCATCTGTGAAGTGATCCAATGGTCACAAATAGAGCTAGATTATAACCTTCCAGGTCTCTTTTAAGCTGTCCGTATAGCCCAGGAGGTTGTGTACACCAAGTGCATGCAACGTTTGAAGAGGTGAGCTGGCAGACAAAAGGGTGTTGTCAATATAAAATTCATATCAGTAGTGGCAATGAGCTGCCAGTAGGATAGGCATTGAGCAAAGGTATATGGCTGTATCTGCATGCCATGCAAAGCACTCTAGTGTACATCCCATGCCAGGCATGAATATGAACGTTGAGTGTGTGTCTACCACCATGGTTGATTTGGCTACAGTCCTTGAGCATTTAATCCAGTAGTACTGATCAAGATACCATAAGCAATGCTGTAATGCATCAATAGGATGGACGGCTGTTTCAAGAGTCCGGCCAATGTTCACCAAAGTATTTAAACAGGTTAATCTTATTGTCATCACAAATTTAGAATTTGTTATCTTCAGAAGTATCAAGAATTAAACTATAAAAATACTGAATGTTAACTACCCGCGGATTTAAGCTTTTAGAAATCTGGCGTTTTGATTTCACATACGACAAAGATTTGTCGTATTAGTGAAACTGCATACTAAAACCGACATGTCTAAATAGGGATATATATTCAATGCCGTTACATATCTAGCAGAATAACCGGTAATTAGTCGAGGTACCGAAGAAAAAACAAATGATAAATGGTGCATGATAACTACTATCTATGGGATAATACATCATATATATGCTCTAAAGTAACGGGTTTATCCTTAAATTTTTGGCATTTTGATGTCGATTGTCCCATTCTCTCTAAGTGAAACGCCAACACCAATTCGTACTAGCTAGGTTCATCCATGTAAGCAATTGAGCGGCAGCCATCTGATACCAAAAAGACAAAATAGAGATAAAGGAACCATAGCCATTGGATGAAGAATGACCAATGGAGCTAATTGGTCCTCATGAGTCATATCCAAATGGGAGCGGTTGTTCAAAGACTGATTGATAAGTATATAAGAAAACTAGACGTTGGGGCGCCGTAATGGCACGCCTCCTGATTACTTCATCCAATTACTTCATTTGCTCCTTGTACTTTCCAAGGAGAATGCTTAAACGTATATGATTAACTACTTACCACAAATGATTAGTACAGTAGCAGCTTGAGCCGTGACATCTTTAACTTACTAACTACCATTAACCCTAGGTAATCAGTGTTACACAACATAACGTTTTACACAAGCTTTCTTAGGGCCTGTTTTGTAGAGCTCCAACTCCCAAAATTTAGCTTCAGGAGTTGAGTATGGAGTGGAGTTGTGGAGCTGCCTAAACCCAACTACACCTCTCTAGTTCATTCTATGAGAGCGCTTCACCTAGCTCCGCTCCCATTTTAGGTGGAGCAGAAACTATTTGGCTGGGCTTTAGCTCCAAAAAAGCTGGAGCTGGAGCTGTGCCAAACAGGCCCTTAGTACACGGAAGCCTTTTAGAAGGGCCAAAACGTGTACAAGATTAAACAATTTCAGCTAGAAAGCTTTCACCACATAGGCTAACAATCATTTGGAACCACAAATAAGGAAGAAGTCAATATTTATTAAAGAGGATTGTCTTCTAGTTTATGCAATTGTGCTAATCTTGTGTAGGTACATAAACGGGATTCTCAGCTGAGAAGTGAGGACCAAACTGAGATGAACAAGCTCATTTGTTGTAAAGGTCACTTGGAGTATTTGGTCACCATAATCATACATTCATTCATGGGTGTCCAATTTGAAAAAGTTTCAATGTTTGTGCAGATTTTATTTCTTCATGGATGCCAACTAGTCAGCGAGTAACTTTATATGTGTGGCATTTGTAGTTGATGATTGTACTATTGATGTACTCGTAGCAGGTAGCAACAAATATGATCAAAATGGATTCTTTTCATCATAAGGTAATGGAAAACGATTTTCTTTATGGAAAGGATCAGGGAATCAATTTGCTGGATAAAAAGAGCCTTGAAATTAATCGGGTATTAGCACAACTACAGATTTGATTTTTCCATACGAGGCCTCCCCCAGGCTATAAATGGACCATAACTGACCCCGCATGCAAAAAATCGCTCCCCTGGGGGGCGGTTCAAGGCCAGTCTGCGGTAATGTATTATCGCAAGTGGACCTCTTATTGTGCAATGACCCGCACCGAGCCACTGACACCCTCTCTCCACCTCCCTCTCTCTAGCTATCCCGTCCTCTCTCTCTCTCTCTCTCTCTCTCTCTCTCTCAGCGTGCAATGGCAGAGGGCGGCGAAGGTCAGCCTTCCTTCTCCTGCTCTCCCATCACCTTTCCCCCTCCGCTCCGATGGTGACTGAGCATGGAGGCAACGGATCGACGACGATTTCTTTGCCTCTCTTGTAGACCCACCGCTGACTGGCCTTGAGAGGGGTGGATCCGGCGATGGCATGGCAAAGAGGAGGCGGCAGGGAGGTTGAGCGCAGCCACATGAGGATGGATGATGAGGACATTACTCCTTTGGATACGCAAAATACTTCTCATGTTTTCGTACAAGGTCCAATCACTAGAGCTCACACCCGACAATTGCATTTATAGGTGAGCTTGTTCCTAAGTACTTCTTCATGTGATTTTTAGGAAAGATTGTTACCTAATAATTTTATTATGATTAGGAACTATGGAGAAGAACAAGGAGAGAAGCTAGAAGATGGACAAGATCATCAAGGGCATTCAAGTCAATATGGAGGCCCAAATCATACCATGTTCGAGTCTACCTCGGGCTCCCTGAGCAGTCTGTGCAAAAAATGTCGCACAAGTCACATTCGGACTCCATCTTCGACGTTCTACCTATGTATGGAAAGGTAACAAGACCGCCTTTCCAATGGACCTGGTCTCACATCATTCCTTCAAAGTCAAATGGAATTGTTGAAACACGTGGCGTCTAGAATATGTACGGGTGTTGCATCACCGTCTTTTGGGCTGTTGGGCCGTGTATCGTGTTGGAATCAAATAAGGATGCATCCAGGTGTCCTTGCCTCCTTGGTCGACCTTAGAACCTATATATATTGTAGCCACTATCAAGTTAGGGTTGGGTTTACTTAGATTATTTATACCATTCCAGTTTCGTCGTTCATTGATTTGTGGAACCCCAACTTCGAGTTATTAATCAATCATCTGCATTTGTGTTGCAACCTTTCTTGTTCTTGCTTATGTTTTCAATTTGCAGCAACAAGGTCAATCGGTTTCGACATGGTTGATAACCAGAGAAGACGTGGTGCTGCAATTATAGGGTTCGGATAGTGTTGATCAGAAGCACGATAATGTGTCAAGTTTCCACCAAATTGATAGTTTTCTCTACTTGACGGAAGATCAGGCACCCCGTTGCCATCAACAGATCTAGTGCGGTGACCTTGGGAGGGGCGGGGAGTAGTGAAGAGGGTCGCATCGTGCCTCTCTCTTCAGCCTGTCTCGGTGGCGGCGATGGCAGTGGAGGTGGCGCATCCGCACGATGGTGGTGGCGTCGGCCGGATCCGGCGGCGAAGAAGACGGTGGAGGTGGCCAGATCTTCATTTGTTTTATGTTTGTTTGTGGATGGAGTTCATGTTTGTGGATGTGGATGAAGTTTATGTTTGTTCGCATTTGGTTTTTGGTTCTGTTTCAATTTCAATTTCAAGTAATGGATTAATGGATTCTGTTGTTGTCGTGATGAACTTTTGGATCTGGATCTAGAGCTAGGGTTTGTGAGAGGAGAAGGGATTTGGGGATATTTTGATTTTATTTTTTCACCCAAAAAACATTATCGCAGTTGGCCGTCTTAACCGGTCATGTTGGATAATCGATTCACCCATGCGGCTGGATGGACCTACGATAATCTCTATTTTCGTAGACACTTGTGGGAAGGCGGGCTGCCATTCGACTGCGAAAATAGGTTTTGGCCGAGAATGTAAAAACACTTTATGTAGTAGTTGTTAATAGTGAAATTTGGTAAGCTCCAAAGTCATCATCGGCCTAGAGTCAGTATCGACTTCAGAGCCATGGAATCGGCCGATGGGAATTATCAAGTCGCCAATAGTCGGATTCTTAGTAGATTCGGTTATGAAAATTAATCTACTAAATGAAGTTTATCTAGAAGTGACCGAGTTCAAGGAGGATGCGGCATGTCAATTTATCTATTAATTAAGAATAGTCTATTAGTTTCCTTTTATCTTTAGGGAAGTATGTTTAGTGTTCGATAAGGACTTTATGTTTTCCTTTTATCTTTAGGAAAGTTTCTTTCTTATCCTACAAGGATTAGTATCTACCCATGGGTATACATATATACACCCGGGGTTATTGTAATTGATCTCTCGATCAATACTACTCTCGGCGCATCGCTACCTTCTTTTCTGAGGTTTTACTTATCAACCGGCGGAATTTGGCACTTGACGCGGGCCTGCATCGATTCAGTTCGATCTCCGACGAAGGGGTAAGTCTTACGTTCCATCGGCCCTGGTGAATCTATCAGCTACATTGGTGTTGTTCAAAGCTGTATCGCTTCGATCTCTTGGATCACTCTAGTTTGGTTGATATATTTGCCTACCTTATATCTCAATTCTATCTCTAATTGCATTGTGTTTAGAAAAGCATCAGTTTAGTTGGGACTGTCTTGGTTATGTCTGATCTTCTGTCTTAGCCGATATATCTCTACAATCACAATGCTGTTATAAATAGACTTGTTATATCCATCACATTAGACAGATCTATCGGCTCATCAAGTATTAGATTATCATATATAATCTCATGCTGCATCGGTTAGGTCCGACCTAGTGTTTTATCGCGGTACTAGCCGATAAGTTATCTGGACGTTGCATCGGCTTACAAAGATTACATACAAGTTGGATTTAGCCGATTGCAACAAAGGTCTCACTGTTTATCTAAATCGATTGGATTTTATGGCATCGGACTTTTAGCCGATGTATATGCTTTAACCATCGGATCAGTACTTATCCTATCATATTATTATTAGCCGATTGATTTCTATTGGATTATATTATTTTTATATCTTATTATCATCAGACGATTGTCTTTATATCATTGTCTACATTGAACATATAGCTGATTGCTTAAAACCCTATCGACATCGGCTAGAATCAGCATCGACTAATATCGGCTATCGGCTGATA